TGTGCAACGACGTCTGATGCCCGCCTCATCGACCTTAGCCATGCATCTTGCGACACCTTGAAGGCTGCGCTTGAACTGAGGCCGTGTATGCTTTTCTAGCTTCTAGACTTTCTGCTACGTTATACATCCTACATCCGATCCTAGAGAATGGGACAGTCGTCTTGAGGTCCTGGAGATGGAGCTACTCCAAGTTTGCTGATTTCTGCTCTTGGCGAGATTGCCAGTGACTGACGTGTCTTCCGAGGGCCCTGGCATTTGCCGGCTGCTTGACTTCGCGCGGAATGTGCATGATGTCATCCTGCTGCCCACTGCCCAAAGCAAGGCACATCTGGTCCCATCCCGCGTGCTGCAGCAGAGTCGCCAAAGGGTCCATGCACCCTCGCTTCGTATGTGCATAACAGGGACTTTTTGCTATCTGCTTTGGGCCCCAAATAACCCTCAACAACCAAAGTTCCTGGACCCCTTGGGTTCTGCAAGTGCAAGCGGTTGCCTTCGGATCGAGCAGAGCATGAGCTGTCAGCTGCGTGTCTGCACGGTGGCTTGGAAGTTGCTGATTCAGAGGTTTGTCGCTATGAACCCGATGGTTTCAAATGCGAGCGCACCAGAACCCTTCATGTAATTTCGCTGTACATAGCAAGACTCAAACAACTTGAAAAACCGTCAACTTCAAGATGTGCAAAAGAATAAACAGCACAAAGGCTTATGACTCCAGGTCCCACCCAGCCCGAAGCTCTCATCCAGTTGATGATGCAGATTTGGGGGGCGCATATGTGTACATATATATATATATATGTTATGTATTTATTTATGTATATTTATCTATTTATATGTACTTGTTTATTTAGTTGCTTTATCTATTTATGTACGCATATTCATAAAGATATTTCTTGATTGATTTGTATATTTGTGTTTCTTTATTTGTTTATCTGTTTATTTATTTCATATTTGTGTATTTTCATTTTTATAATATATAAAAAAATAAATGAATGAATGAATAAATACATATATATATATATACATAATATGAATCATCTGGCCTATGCTGCGAAATTGGTCGAAGACGTGCTTCAGTCCGGTGTACACGCGAACTTTGTCCAACAGGGGCTTCTCCTCGCCTGCGCAGCGTGCTAAGTGCATTCTCCCATACACCCTCAAACCCTCAAACCCTCAAACCCTCAAACCCTCAAACCCTCAAACCCTCGAAGCCTCAAACCCTCGAAGCCTCAAACCCTCAAACCCCCCCAAACACCCCCCCCCCCCCCCCCGCCCCCTCCAAAACCCCCAAAAAACCCAAAACCCCCTCAAACCCTCAAACCCTAGTGGTCACTCGAAGGATGGGGCTCACACCCAGCAGCGCTTCTCGAACTTCTTTCTGAACTTCTTGTACATCGGTTTGGGCACTGAGACCTCGGGAGCTTAAACTGCATCCCCGTTGCCCAAAAAGTATATCATACAACATATATAGATATATATTATATATCCATCTATCTGTATAATATTTGTACCCCATGCATTTACTCATATACTATACTATACTAGACTAGACTATACTACGCTATGCTATAGTAGTGATCTCAAATGTTTCTCACCTTGGCTGACCTTCTCTCTCCGATCGTTTGAGGAGCGCGCCGATTGTGATCTCCACACCGCTGCTGTTGCTGCTGTTGCGCTCATTCTTTGGCCGGCTGCCAAGTCCCACTTGGAGGGCGTGTAAGCCGCAGCCGCCTGCTGAGCTTCCACAAATTTGAAATCACATAGTGGCAAAAGCACGCGGGCGCAACGAAGGAGGGGGCAACTCACCATGAAACTGCTTGTTCAGCCAGCCAGGCGCGCTGCATGATGATTGCGTGACTGTCTACTTTGGCGACTTTGGCGCCTACTAGCCTACTAGTAGGATGACATACCCGAAAAAGGCAGCAGCCTTTGGTCAATTTCAATGTCAAATCTCGTTTAATGCTGCCTGTTTCCGAGGACAGGCAGGCATCGTCCTTCTCCAAGGCCGGTGAGGAAAAGCCTAGGTATTCCAGTTCGCGAAGAATCGCTCAGAGTAGAGTGCTCAGCAGGAACTAACAAGGCCAACCTTCCTCACAAGGAAGATACTGAGCACGCCAGGCACTCCATCATTCTTTCCTCCATTCCATGATCCTCCCTTTTATCTACTTCTTCTTGTCCGAGTTCTCGGGATCATGCAGAGCCTCGGATACCCCCCCATAGCATCACTGCTATCGAGACCGGACCTTTCAGCACCTTTTCTGTCCCAAACGGCATCCACCTTCGAAAGAACTAACGCTACAGTTACAGGGGACACTCCGTCGCTCTGCTTAAGTGCGGTGCGCCTTGCTTACTGTGAAGTGCTGTGTGTACACTTTTGATCGTTCCTCTGAGAGGGCTCTGATTTCCTGATTCGCTAACCGAAGGTGACTTGTTGTGTCCTTCATGCTTGCTTGTAGGTGCCTATGTTTATAACTTCGGAGATCAGCACGCTCTGAAACCGTGGAAGCATACCGGAAAATCATCTAGCATCAGCCTGACAAAATTCCTGTCCTGAAAGCTGCCTGGTGCTTTTCTTTCAGGATATTTTGAAGCCAGGTTTTTGCTGCTTCCCGGAACCTGCCCGGAACTTCCCCCTCCCAAGGCCCACCCCCCACCCCCTCGGCCCCTTATTTCGGATTTTGTTCAGGTTTGTCTCAGGAAGTCTCAGGTTTCTTTCAGCCTTCCGTTGCAGGCGACCCCCTTAGGAAATCCGGACAGCACGTGCATTTCGAGGACAGCATTTTTCAGGCTTGCATTTCAGCTTTTTTGGTCCCCCGGGATGTTCTCAGTATTAGAAATACCTTTGTCTGCACGCTGAGGTTGAAGTGACAAGCCTAAGTTTTGTATCACGTTCTTCTGCATGTCGGGTCCAGGGCTTCGCGTGCTGATTTGTTCCTGACTTTTCGCTTCCCATCTAAATTTAAGCCCTAAACAGGCCTCCCGAATCCTAAACCCTAAGCCCTAAAGTTTAGGGGCCCTAAACCTCAAGTAGAAAAACATCACATTCGGTCCTAGAACCTGAAATAGATTACCTCTCTTCGGCTCAGGGGTTGGTTTGAGGAGTCCAAGCTCAGGGCTTCGGGCTCTGAAGGTCAGGGGCTCCGAGTCTACTGCTTGCGCCATCCGCCCAGGGAACTTCAGAGTAGAAACATGGCCTGTGGACAAATTTGGACGGGCATCTGCACAACCATCCATGAGAATTCTTCCTGTTCCATCCGGTGGGTAAACTTGGGGGCATCTTCGGGTTGAAGAAAGCCAGCAGCCAGTGCTTCGTTTCATTGTCTCCGAAGGTACCCAGAGGGGAACCTTGTCTAACTTCTTGGGAAGCTCGAAGCTCTTCGGCCCGGAGGCCTGTCCTTGTTCGATACACCCATGTAAGGCTCCTCCTTTGCACTCCTTGCATTCCTTCCTGTCGCTGGTGGTGCAACTACCACTGTGGGTTGCTGGATGCTGGCTTCGAGAAGTTGTGGTTTTGGGTTCTGTGGAAGACGTCCCTTGGTTTAGGGTTTATAATCAGACGAAGTTGGGGCAGGTCTCGTCAAAATCAGCAAAATCAGGCAAAGTTTGGATTTTGCGGCACTTACGTTCAGGCCATGTCTTCTGGGTCCATGTATCTGCAACCATCGTCCAGAAGTTTGGAGCACCAAGATAAAAGAGGGCCCAGAATTGTGAATACCCAGCAAATCAAGTTAGGCTATCCTTGCACGCGTGAAGATTTAGAGAGCCGCCATCCGCTCCAGCAACTTTGCATCTTCAAGAGCCACGAAGCAGCAACGGTAAAGTTACAGCGTTCGTGCGGGTAGGGAACCTTTGCATCAAAAGCACGGGCTGCACATGACCGAGGCCCGGGCACAACGCCAGGAGTCCGCAAAAGCCCAGGCTCCGCAGCCTTGTGGGTCTTTCTGATTCATTATGAAGGTAAGGCAATACTCCTGATTCCAGGGCCTGTTTCTTTTTGGCATGTTCCGTGTACCGTCCTATGGCAAGCCATGAAGTCGGGGTTTGCTGTGCCTGATACATCAAGCAACTGTCTGTAAGCACGTTGTCGGTGTCTTCTCCGGCTCACAAGCTTGGCTTGGGTTGTCAGCTTTCCGGGCATTTCTGGTTGCTTGCCCCTGTGCCATGATGTCACCAAGCTTGCAGCCACCCTGGAACAATGCTTCATACTAAACATTAGATAGTAATTCGGCACCATTCCTCTCTTTTCTCTTAAGCCAGAGAAACTTTTTTGGATGGTACACACATTATCTTCACGACTCATGGTGTATCATTTGCCTTGATCCTCATATTTCTTCATCTTGGAAGAGCTATGTCCTATGCTCCATCTTTTATCATCCACATACTTGGCGTTCTGGAAAATGAGCTAATGAGCTTCTGAGGAGTTACAGTACTTTAAATTTCAGTATCTCGATTTCATCTTGTATAGATGGCAGGTCGGCAGACATGCTGAGCTTGGGGTGCTGTTGCTGATATATACCATTTGCTAGCAAAGCAAACATGTCTCGGCAAATGATCGGCTTTGAGCTGATACCCGCCAAGCTAGAAAATTGTCTTTGGTTTCTTCGTCGGTCTCAGTGCACACAGCAACTCTTACCTGAGCAAGATCCACTGCCAAACACGATGACCCTGACACTGATCCAGACAGGAAAGTGTCTGCATGCCAAGCAGCATCATTGTCGCAGCAGCCCGCAGAAATTATGTAGTCCAATAGAGGTTTTATATGGAAGCTGCTATGGAGTGCCTGTGCGCCCTGAGGGTGTTCGGGCTTGAGCACAAAGCCTGTACAGCTGCGAAACGAACATGGACGCTCAACCAGCAATCACTAGCCGCCTCACACTGTGCATGACAGGTTGGCTCCTTCAATGGCACATTGGGACTCGGGTTAGTCAGTTCAAGCTTCTACTTTCTTTTCGACATTGGGCATTTGTCCAATTGCCGAGTTCAATGCCCCATCCCATTGCATGGTCCTCCAGCCACTTCAACTGCGTCTCGCTCACCGCGCCGTTCAGCGGAACCCAGCGGAGGGCCTGGGGTGACAAACTGTAACTGCTCTTGAACTGTGTGCGCAACTGGTCTGGTGATCGGCCACCCATACCATCTGGCAACTAGTCGCCTGCCAATTTCGGCCATCACACGAATGCCACCAGATGCCCTCAAAGCTGGGTCTGGGGCAGGCCCTTCCTTGATGCCACGTGCAAAATCCTGAAGGGGCCGAGAAGACACATCTTGACACTGTAACAGCATGCACTGCCATCTCGTCGTGCTTGGTCGACACCAGTTCACAAGCGCCCGCACCTCTTTCGTAATGTCGTTGGGATTATGTGCCTCAACACATTCAACAGCGTAGGATCACAAGGATCAGCTGCCCTCACAAGCTCCCAGTTACTCGCGTTGCTGCCACTGACAAAGTTGTGAGAAGACAAGACTACAGGCTCTACCGAGCCCGCAACTTGACACAGCTCCACAGCGTACGAGTTCAGCTCCTGAGCAGCTTGACTAAGATTTACAGCTTCTGACAACAATACTATACTTCATGAGCCTTCGGCATTCACGCAAGAAAGCTTATGCGTAGCAACGCTTGCGCAATGACTTGTTTAATCGAATCCAAGTGTCAACAGATGTGAAACAAACACGCTCTTCGGAAAAAGAAGGAGTCAAGTAAGAACATCATGGCAAATGGCCAAAACAACTTTTCAGGCGCACCGCATCATCAACTCCAGGTCGAGCCCCACCACCGCTCATTATACCTCGCACTCTCATATATGCCTGAAGGCTTTGACTCAGTTTTGGGGCTCAAAAGTATCGGCACGAGCATTGGGCTGAGGCATGGACTGATTTCGTAGGGATCCAACCTGAGATCAAGAGCTGAACAGAATCAGGTTCCTTCTGGCTCGAGAGTCCAGGAATTCACTGGCCACCAGCAAGAGACATTCACCCCGTCCAGTGCTTACACCACCCCAATCTGAGCATGAGACACGCAGACTCTCCAATCATGGCTGGGGCAGAAGCCTGGGCAAAGGCTATGGCGGCTATGGCTCATACAAGCAGCCGAACAGTTGAAGGCCTAGAGGAACGCAGTGCGCGAAATGACCACTCTGCCCATGCATGTTATGATGAATGCAACACATCTGCCAAGAATATCTGCCAGCAGCGCAATTCAGGGATCCACTGTAGTAGGAGCTTGTGCTTGAAGGCGCCTGGCCAGAGGCCCATGCTAGCTTATGTTGCTTGTGCACTTGCAGCAGTACTTTGGCCTCTGGCTCTAGAACTGGAGGTGCAGAAATCCTGCAGCAGCAGCAGCAGCAGCAGCAGCAGCAGCAGCAGCAGCAGCAGCAGCAGCAGCAGCATTTCTTGTTCCCCCGTCCCCTTTTACGCCAGACACACTTACTTCGGAACATCTTCGTTAAATGCTGCCAGCACAACAGCGTCGCACGTTCGGCAAGCAGTCCTGTAGGTTTCCGAGAGCTCTGGGAAAGAAATACCCTCTTCCATTTCCTTGCGTGGAAAATTGTACAGCTCGTGGTTGCCTTAGAAAGTTTGCCGAGATGCCACGGCAATCTGCACTAATCTACTCAAGCTCCGAACCCACAAGATGGAGAGTGGGCGGCCCGCCCTCCAAAGGAATCAACAAGTCCTGCAGCAACGGCTGAATCGTATGATGGACCTACATCATACATCCCTATGACCGATGATTATTTCCTTTTCTCCTTGTGAGGCAGAGCTTCTTGGGCATCTGGCTCGTGCATGCTTCACTGAAGGAACTGACAGGTCTCGAGTATTCGAATATCCTCAATGACACACAGATTACTCATCCAGTCGATGTCTTGCACGTTCATTCCTCTGCTTCTGCGTGGGCAGGTCATTTGAATATGCGGTCAAAGACCAGAACTCGCCTTATCCCTCGCACGAATCGGCTCTGACGTGTGGACAATCCTGTGCACTGAAATCCGCTGTCCTGCAGCGCCTTGTGGCCCTGGCCTGTCAGTTGTGAATAGTCGAACCTTTTGCACCGTTCCACTAGCTCCTACAGCAGCTCCTGACCTGGCATGCAGCGATTCTGCACCGCAAGATTGATTAGCCTGCTGTGGCCCTGTTGCAGCCATCGATGAAGTCGCCAAGCTGAGCAATGAAATCAACCTCGCAGGCAATGCTGAGAGCACTGGCTTAATTTGGATGGGGCCGGGCTCACTTGCGATTCCGGACCCCTGCTGCAATACATTCCGACCGAATTGCGACTGACTCGTGTTCTTACATGTCTACAACTCGTTTCAACGCCTCTGTTTAGGGCTTCAGTTCTTGGTTGCCTGGTACTGGTCGCTCAAAGCGCCCCATCTCTTCTAGGGTGTCGCACTCCCTATCCCATCTTGAGGACTTGGGCTTCCCACTCATCCCCGTTTGCGCCGGGGGGGTAGGTCCCAGCTACTCAGGCAACGACACTCCTGGGCGTGTCATTCACAATGCTCATGCTGTTTTCACTTCGCAGCTTGGAGTCGCCAAATTATGCAAGGTACGTAGCTATGTGAGCCCCTGACTAAATTACTCTTGTCCAGGGGATACGATATTCCCTGTAGCAATTCTAGGTCCTAAGCTAAAGGTCCCAAGTTGCAATCTACGTTCTTAGCATCGTAAGTTGGACTAGCATCATAAGTTGAACAGTAATCTAGCGCGAGGCTCATGTAGAAGCATACCAGTCAATGCCTCAGTCTGTACAATTACTTGGTTATATCTAGGAATGGGCAGCAGCCCTCACAACTCAGGAGGCAACGGCACCCGCAACAAGGTAACAATCACATCAGAACACGCAAGCAAAACAAGTGGAGTCAAGCCGTTGAACTGCCAACAGTTCAGGCCTACGGCCAGCTGAGGCATGACACAAAAACTGGATCTACGACCTGGACCGTCTGAGGGAATTGTTGAATGCAGCAACTTGCCAAGACTGTTGCAGTATGAAACCAGCTCTGGCGGCCAGGCGTTTGACGCACGGACCCGCCGCCAACACAACAACCGCATATGGGCGGTAAGCCGTTGTGCCGGATGGCAGGTACTGCAACAAGACTCTGTGCGAAGTGGGGCATCTTACCAGCAAGATCACCCCAGTATGGACAGCCTGCAGATTACACCCACTAATTGGTTTTTTCAAGACATATTTTGACGCAGCTTGCCGAAATCAAACATTCACCCTTGGTAGAGCTTGTCCACCCTCCAGACTGACCATGTGCTCGCACTGAAATCACGTTTGTCTAAACCGAAGCCTGCTAAAATGAGGTCACAATCCTTTACGAACGGCACTACGACTGCAACTATACAACACACACAACGAGCACAATCCAAGAAGAACTGGAACTAATGATGGTGTTGTTCATTGAATTTGCCTTGCTGCGTCAGGACACATGCCCCAAAGTCACAATTCACAGTACTGAGGCACGTAATGCCTCAGAGCAGTCAATCCGAACGCAGCTACGGGCACTTGCAGCAATCTGGCGGGATGGCATCTGCAGTACACCTCCATTCAGAAACCAGAACAGCATTGGTAGCTCTGATTCACATCTGCATTGCAGCCAGCTTCAGCAGGGAGGTGTTTGACTCTTTAAAGCATGCTTGTCCCAAACGAGCAGCTCCATCATGTAGCGGCAAATCAGCTCCGCTCACTTTGGCGTTCCAACTGCCAGTATCGCGGCAGGACACGCGAGAGATTTGGCCGTTCTGTTCAGAATGATTCTGTCAGCGCGGGCTTCATGAATCACCCTTGAGGGCACTGGATCCCATGTTACGCATATTCAACGCATTTCAAGACAAAACACTCAGCTGCCTTGGCAAACAACATCTGCGCATCGCGCTCTAAGGCAAACTCCGAGGGCTGGCCGCGGCTGGCTAAGAATCATGGCAAGGCCAAAGTCTCACGAAACATCCATCTTTGTTGGCTCCGCTTGATCCTTGCAGGGCCCCTCCCTCTCTCTCATTCTTTCCTTCTTTTGTTTCTCTCTCTCTTCTTCTTCTCCTCCTCCTCCTCCTGCTGCTTCTTCTTCTACGGGGCCTGAGGTAGTGTTCCCCCTCCCCGTGCCTAGCCACGTGATTCAGTCCAGGTGACACTGCGATCAAGAGGGCTCGGTAGACACTGACGTTAGACAAGGTTCCCCCGAGTCCCCCACTAATTGCACCTGTTAGATGCCACGCAGCCATTATCCCCCCTTTTGGGTCGCCGTGCCCCGCTATCGTGTCCAGACTGCTGCGTGAAACGATCGAGTCTGCTTGTTCGTACCTCTTACTCTCTCTGTCTCTCACTTCCGTGGTCGAAAACTTGCACTTGACTCTCTGCCTCACTCACTCTCTCTCGTTCTTTGTCTCTTTTCTTCTTTTTCTCTCTATCTTTCTTTCTTTTTTTCTTCCTTTCTTCCTTAGCCCTCCGACTGTATGCTGTGTGCCCCGCCTACGGTTCACCCCACGAGTGCTCCGAATTACCTGGCAGACCTGGCAGATGCAACGTACAATCGTGGTGGGACGGCCACAGCCAGAAAACGCCAGTGTCGTTTCGTCGAACATTTCCTAAGCACCGCCGCGCATCCTGTGCTGCTGGCTGGGGCATCATCGTGTGACTTGAGAGCCACGGGCTGGGACGAAAGCTCTAGTAGGTCCAGGACTGGGGACACGGAGCTAGCAGGAAGAGACAGGCGCCGAGAGATCAAAGCGCCGACCCAATTCATGTGGCAAAGTCAAAGGTTAAAGCGAAGCGGTGCTTCAAGTGAGCCACCATGCACAAAAGTAACACAAAGTTACAGGAAGTTACACAAGTGCACCTACCGTGTATAGACAGACACGGCCAAAAGCTCGGAGGTCAGACCGATGACACACACGGGTGTTGAAAGCGGTGTGTCAGATTGTGGCTATGAGGGTGGGGACCCCTGCAAGCGGGGAACAGGAGAAAACTCAACTCGCTTCGTTTATCTGGGCTACAGGGTCAAACAGGGAGGAGGACCCAGACCAACTGAAGAGGTGCTTCGAGAGTGACCGCAGTTATTGGCGACTGTCGTGCAGACCCTGCTGCGCCTTTTTTTTGGCATGTTGGTTCTGCGGCTTTGCCGCGTTCTTCGACGTCTTTGCTGGGCAGTCTCAGTGCTCGCGCTGGTCATCTGGTTGTTTTCGTGCCCGCCCGAATTTGTCCGCTGCCGGTGACTTGAAGTCTCGGCGGCGCTACTTCAAGCTGCGCGAGTTTCAGCATCCCCCCCTCCCGAAACCACACCGGTTCTCAGTCGGCAGTAGTCCGCACTCGCAACGCAAGCAGTGCTCCTTCAACTTTTGTCCGCTGCATACATCCACAGGAATAAACAGCGGATTCCCGTGCAGATGCTGAGAGGTTGGGGAGGGTTCCGTGGAGGGGAGGTTCGGGAGGGGTCATTGCCAAGACTCCGCGGGGTGTCTAGGACGAGCAGATTTAGGCCTGCAGCGACCCGCCAAAGCACGCCGCCCCGCGAGCATCAGCAGCATCAGCCCGGTCCCGCTTCTCCTCGGAGAGGCATAAAAACGAGTCCACGCCGAGGACCCGAAAAATGCTCCAAAAACCGTTTTGGGCAACCGCCCTGGGCCCCAAATTCGCCCGGGGACGCGCGAAAATGTCAGGGTTTTTTGACCAGCCCCCCCCCCCCCCCCCCACACCCGCCCTGGCTCCGCCCCAGCCCTGACGGGGTATTAAACGAAAGCTCTCCAGGGGGAGCTTTCGTGACCAGTTCCTCAGGTACGTGGGTCCAAACCTCCCACGGTGTTCCAAGAGCATACGCCTCCTGATCATCAAGACCGAAGGAGAGGAAAGCGGAGCGCCGCCAGAACTGTTACCAAAAAGCATGTCGCTTCCCCCCCCCAAACAGTTCGGGAAAGACTTCGGCAAGGAGGACGCTTCGGTTTGGAGACGTTACCTATGGGCAACAACTTTCCCGAGCTTTTATCGGCGGCTTTGAAGCCTGGCGGAGGCTTTCATGCTTTTGCACACAAGGAGACTTGCATCAGCACAGTGCTTCAAGCTTCTGCCTCTCCCCTCTTCCATGCGCCAGGTCGCCTGCTCGATTTTCTCTCTCTCTCTCTCTCTCTCTCTCTCTCTCTCTCTCTCTCTCTCTCTCTCTCTCTCTCTCTCTCTCTCTCTCTCTCTCTTTCTTTTTCTTTCTTTGGGGCTTGAGGAGCCCAGGGCCCCCCGCGCGACAGCGCGCCCCGCTCCCGCGTCAGTTCCGCGCTACCACTCACGACGCCGGCCCTTTGGCCGCAGCACGCATGCCGCCACCTGAACAGGGCCTGTTTCGACCCGTTCTCTGTACTTTCCGCATTGCTTGCTTATCGACCCGCAATCCCTTCTCCTCCACCCACCCCTGGAATCCTAGCCCCCCAACCTGCCCCAGAAAAGTCGGTCCAAGCCCCCAAAACCTGTACGTGCACCCCACATCCCTGACCCTTCTGCCAAGCCTTCCCGAAGCGAATCCTCCCCTGTCCCCCAGCAGCAACGAACCTTCCCGAAAACAAGACCTCCCCAGCCCCCCGACTCTAGTCGCTGACTGCAATGCGTTTGTGGCGGTCGCTGCTGTCCCTCCTCACTTACAACAACTTACTAGCCCCCTCTCTCTCTCTCTCGCTCTCTCTCTCTCTCTCTCTCTCTCTCTCTCTCTCTCTCTCTCTCTCTCTCTCTCTCTCTCTCTCTCTCTCTCTCTCTCTCTCTCTCTCTCTATCTCTCGCTCGCTCCATCCCACCCGTTCTCTCTGTCTCTCGCTCTCCCTCCCTCCCTCTCTGTTTCTTCTTCTCTACCCAGCGGCCGCGACAGCCCGCTGTTCGGATTCTCTTTCTTTCTTTCTTTCGTTGGGGCATGGGGGTGGCCCCCCGCGCTGGTGCGCGCCCCCGTCCGTCTGCGACTCAGTGCTCGCTAAAAACTCGCTTCTCTCTCTCTCTCTCTCTCTCTCTCTCTCTCTCTCTCTCTCTCTCTCTCTCTCTCTCTCTCTCTCTCTCTCTCTCTCTCTCTCTCTCTCCCTCCCGCCCTCCCTCTGATCATTCTTTCTGCTTTTGGGGCAGTCCGGGAACCACTAGCATCTGGCCTGGGCAGCTGGTCCCTCCACGCCACTCCCAATGCCCCGTTGCGTTCTTCTATCCCTGCCCAACCCCATCCC